TCCTTTTTCAGTAGGTCGGTCAGTGGCGCTGCTATCTTAGCGTACTGCGGCACGAACCTGTTGTAGTAGTTGGCGAAGCCTAGGAACTGCTGCAACTCCTTCACGTTCTCCGGTACTTTCCATTTCTTGACGGCTTCGATTTTCCGCGGGTCCACGTGTACGCCCTTGGCACTCACCATGTGCCCGAGAAACTGCACCTTCTTCAGGGCGAAGTCGCTCTTCGACAGCTTCACGTAGAACTTGTTTTTCTGTAGGATCTCGAACACCTTCCGCAGATGCTCCACGTGCTCCTTCATGTTCTTGGAGTGGATAAGTATGTCGTCCAGGTACACCACCACGCACTCGTCCAGCAGGGGTCGTAAGATGTGATTCATCTCCGCCTGAAACGTTGCTGGTGCGTTGCAGAGTCCGAACGGCATCACCAAGTATTCGTAGGAGCCGTATCTAGTACGGAACGCCGTCTTGTGGATCGAGTTGTCCGCCATCTTGATCTGCCAGTAACCCGACCGTAGGTCCAGCTTCGAAAAGACTGTTGCACCACGCAGTTGGTCCAGTAGGTCGTCTATGCGCGGTATGGGGTATTTGTTTTTTATTGTCTGTTTGTTCAGTGCGCGGTAGTCAATGCACATCCGTAGACTACCGTCTGGTTTTGGAGTAAAGAGGACTGGTGCACCGTAGGGAGAGGTGGATGGGCGGATCAGTTGTCTGTCCAGTAGATATTCTATTTGTTTCTTCATGTCTGTCAGCTCGGTCGGACTCAGTCGGTATGGTGCACGTGAGACGGGTTTCGCACCTGGTTCCTCCACGATCTCGTGCTCGTGGGTGTGTGCTGGAGGTACGCCTGCAGGTAGGTCGTCGGGCATTATATCCTTGTACTGCTCCAAGACCTCCTTCACTGCTGCAGGTAGCTCCGAACTCGGCTTCTCCTTCTCTGCTGCTGCTATAACCAGTGCTAAGTAACCCGTGTTACTCTCGTTCACTGTCCTTTCGAACCGTGCCAGTGTCCTTTCAGGAACGCTCCCTGTATCCGTCCAGCTTCGCAGCTCCACTCGTTTCCCGTTGTTGTAGATGCACGCCTTCCTGTTGATCCAGTCGATCTCGGGGTTGAACCGCTTCAAGAAATCTTGCCCCAAGATTAAATCTAAGCCCTTGATGTTCGTGATCGGCAACGTCGGCTTCCACCTCAGCGCCCCTATGTGCAGCTGCAGTGATGCTTTGCCGTGGATGGGAAGTTTCGTACCGTCCACCATTGTTGCCGAGAACTTGGTCTCCTCCGGAAATTCTCCAATTTTCTCCAACGTCCCGCGGTCGCACACCGAGTGGGACGCACCACTGTCCACCATTGCCTGGAGGCGTCGCCCGTTGCAGATCACCTCGAGTAGTAGTGGTTGTTGCTGCTCCGAGTAACCGTAGATGGACTCGCTTATATGATCGTAGGGTACGTCGAATAGATCATCCCTCGGTCCTGCGCTCGAAGCTGCTGATTCCATTTCAGTTTCTAACTGAGCAGGGTTAGAAGGATTTATCCGAGGCCGATTCAGCTTCGTCTTGGCCTGGAACCTTCTCTTAAGCCTTTGCAGCTGTGTAGGCTTCACCTGTGGGCAATTGGGAGCCTTAACACTATGCTGCGGGGAGAGAATAGTAACTCCTTGGAACGCACGACCCTTTTCAACGCTCCGGAGTGGTTTGCCCAACTTCTCAGGTACCTGAATATTGTCTGAAGGCTTTTTCTTGGCCTTGAAATCTCCCCTGAATTTTTTAAAGGCTTGAAAACCTCGAGAGAAAATATTCTTACTCTCGGGGGTGTTCGGCTGGAGTTTCCCGGTCGGTGCAGAGTCTTTTTTCGCGGAGCCTCCATTTGTCTCGGCGATTTCCCCTGTTGCCGGCCGGTAGTGGCGTTTTAAATTCGCGCCATCGTGTCCTTCTTTTTTCGCCATCGTGGATGTTGCACTGTTGTTGCCCTGCAGCTCCGCTCGTACTATCTTCAACTTCCAACACGCCAAGAGTCGATGTCCTGCCGCGCCGCAAAATTCGCACCTCTCATATTTTGTCGGCTGCTGCGTCGCGTCGATCTTGTCGATATCCATTGGGTCGGCCGTCATGGGTGGTACCGATCGCTTCGTGCCAAATGATCGGTTTGGCACGTGGCGTCGTGTCTCGGGTTCACATCGCATCAGCGCATCGAATTTTCCTGCTGCACACACCATGTCGTGGTAGTTGTTGTAGTTCACGGCAATCACTTGTTGGCGGACTTCCATCTTTAGTCCCTCAGTATACGCTTGGATTTTTTCCCCTTCGCTCAGGTCGGTAATTCGGTTGAAGAGGCTCTCCATCTGCTGCGTGTACTGTGTTACACTGCCGAACTGTTTATGCCGATGAATCTGCTGCCGCGCCATGTAGCTGGAGTTGATTGGTTCGAAGCGTTGAATTAAAGCTTCCCGAAACTGCGTCCATGACCCCTCGCCTCGGATCTTATTGGTGTTGTAAATCCACTCGAGCGCCGGGCCTCGTAACAGTGACGCTGCGAGCCGAATCCGCATTACATCGTGTGTCGGGGTCGTACAGCCAACGGCCTCGAAGTAAATTTCGAGAGTCGCAATGAATCGACGAACGTCACTGTCTCTCGCATTCAGATTGAACGTCTCCGGTAGTCTCGGACGTGCCACCTCAAGATTCACTGTAGCCGCTGCCGCTGCTGCTGGGTTAAGTGTCGGTGTCGCCGCTGCTGCTGCTGACGTCGCTGCTGCTGTGGCGGCTACCAACTGGTTCGCGAGAAGCTCCTCTATTCGCTGGAGTGCCGCTCGCGTCTGGTCCAGGCCGGTGTGTAACTCCGTAATTTTTCGTACGGAATTATCACCGTTTTCCTCCATTTGGCGTTTTACAGGAAAATGTGCGACGAAAATAATTAGATTCTAGGCGCTGGTCATCTTACTGTGAGTCAAATCGACTGTAGAAATGACGAACGCTGAATCTGTAGGTCGCGTAATTCTCCCTTAGTTGAAATTCGTGTCCGATCTCGGCCGTTGAGAAGAAATTCGATCCGACGCTCCAAATTCCAACCTTTTTGGTCGAAATTCTCAGGGCCGTTGAGATTCGAATCGATCGGATGGTCGAAATTCCAACTTTTTCGCCACTGGACCTGAGGAGTGTTCGAAAAAACCGCTTCGAGGGGGACGTTAGAAAATAGCGCGGAACTGGTTTACGTACCCCAAATCGGCGCTTTCCGTCGTCGCCCCCGCGGTTTTAAAAGTTAGGTTTTAGCGGTAGAAAAACTTCGCTTCGAACAGGCTCTGATACCAAGTGTGAGGATCTAGGATTGAGCTCAGAAAAGAGAATTGTAATTGAATGATCCACCTGGGTACAACACGAGGCTATATATAGGCTCAACCCAAGGCCAGTTACCCAGGTGTTACGCGAATGTTCTGAGGGTCGCGAAGCGCCCCGAACAGAACCTTCCCGAACTCAGTAGAAAGCAATTCGGTGGAAACCGAATAGGCTTGAGTTCAGTACACGTAACCTGGTTCGGTGCTATAACTATAATAATATATAGGAATGCACCTAACCTAGGAAATCAAGCATATCTATGCATGATAAATAAAACCCAAGCTAGATATAGCGTAATAAAGTCTAGGCATGCTAGCAAAGCCAGCATAAGCCGTCGTACTCTCACACACATGTTGGAACTTCCAGCTTTCTCCATCTCAATGCATGCCTTCATGTGGAGTGGATGGGTGGATGCATGCCTTTAAGTTGATGAGAGGGTTGATGCATACGTTTAAGTTGATGAGTGGATGCATGTTGCTGCATCAGCCAAACAAGGCTTACTTCCACACTTTCCGTCCACCCCATGTGAGCAGAAACCTCTCTGCTAATAACCTCAGCGGGGAGATTCCGGCTGAGATTGGAGGTCTCACTTCTTTGAAGTACTTGTACGTAGGCTTGAGCAAGTAACAAACTCCAACTGGACTTGTGAATAGGCTTGAGAAAGTACCTAAATTGGAGCGAACTTTTTAGATTGCTTGAACGATACCAGTCCCCAAACAACAATTGAACTTGTTGATAGGCTTGAAGAAGTGCTAAACCTGGACCAATCTAGGAACTTGAAAATAGGCTTGAGCAAGTACTTAACCCAAAACAGACTTGTAGGCCGTGTGAGATAGGGGATACGCTGATCTGATGTCACAAAGAAAGCACATGTTTGGCTCAAATAGAACACTCTTGCAGGAGTTACTGTGACTTGCAGCTTTTTCCAGGGTGCTGGCAATGTCTCTATGCCCCTCCTAGCCACCATCCCCTTACTGTCCCCACCTTTGCAGTTGTGCCCATGATTTTCGCATTTTCATCTCCCCTTTTCCACTTCAGAAACATCTCGGGCACCAATCTCACATGCCCACCTGACAACTCTACCTGTGGTGTAAAACAATCTCCTAGAACAACCTTTTGCCGCACGTGTAGACCCTTCTGCAATACTTGCACCAACCAATCTGCAGGCGAGTAAATAACCGCACCTCCCAAGTATGATTTGAGAGTGAAATGAAACGAGACACGGAATGATGCATGGCACAGTGCGTTTTGGAGTCAAGGGTGTTGTGCCAGAGAAATATGTTGTTAGAGAAAAATATCTTTACAGCAAGCGACGTTTGGCACATGGGAATGCATGCAACGCATGGGAATGCATGGAAACACATGGGATTGCATGGCATTGCACGGCTATGTTGGAGAATACGCGCATCGAGTATCAGTCGCGCTCGTCTTATACGCCCCCGTCCGTATGCGATACGCCAAATTCCCACTTTTAAATACGCCCGGAGTCCGTTGTGTCCGGCAAGGGAAAAAATGTTTCGGGCAGGGGAAAAAAAGGGTCTAGGGGAGGGGAGTTATACAAGGTTTGTATAGGAGCTGTTTTTTGTCTGGTTGTGAAATTTTCCACATATATCAATAATTTTCCATTACAATCATTCATTGCTGCTAATCACCCTCCACCACATAACCATGCCCTCCTACTCCACATACTCATCTGCAAGCACATCATCAGCACCCTCCTCCTCCTCCCCCTCCTCAATCTCCTTGTATCTCTCGGGGACAAGCGGCTCAGGGATGTTCCCTGGCAGAAACCCTAGCCCCGAATCTCCCTTATGCCAATTATGTACAACTTTCCAGTTGTGCGCGACGAAAACGGGGTCCCGGCATTTCTGGGATCCCAACTTGTTGCAGCGGGAAGTGTGGACCCGGTCCCACATGGCCCAGCCGCGCTCGCATGGAGAGGCAGATACTGGCTGTGTGAGGACGCGGCACGCAAGCCGCGTCAGCTCCGGGTGGTCGGTCCTGTGCCAACCCCACCACTGCACCATGGACTGCTTACCGGCCTTCATGGCCTCTCTGTCGGCAATGGCTTCAGGGAGGCCGAAAGGACCCTCCAGGTTGAGGAACGCCGTCAGTCCCTCTTGCGCAAGGGAAGCCCGGCGCTCCTCACCGTCCTTGCGGATAACTGTCTTACCCTCGAAGTGGTGGGTGATGAAGCTTTTGGGAATGCGCTTGCACTCCACATCATTGCGAACGATGCCTTCCTCCTGGTTGGCGGGATTCAGGATCCTGCCGACCACATGCATTGCACATGCAAGGCTCCCATCCCAGCGGCGCCTCACGATGTTACCCACCTCCGACTTCTCCGCCATGGTCAGAACTCCCTCCCCTTTCTCCAGCTTGGCGTTGATGTCCACGGTGAGCTGGAGCATCTGGTCGTAGATAAGGCCCATCATGCCTTTGGCGGTGGAGTCAGTAGCGTGCACCACGACGAAAGGGAGCTTCAACAACTCCACGAAGTATGCCGCGCGCTTCCACCATTCCTTGTCCATGACCTGGGTGCAGAATGTTTCTGCCGTCAGCCGATGCGCCCCCTTTGCCCATGCCGCCCACTCCTCGCTCAAAACCATCTGCACCAAGGACGGCCGCACCTCACAAAGCCTGGAAACGGCGATTAACTGCGTGCCGAACTTGGTGCCAGCCGGCTAAAGCACCTGCTTCCCTTTCCCGCCTTGCACTGCATCACTCCACAAGTACCCGCGTGTGAAATGATGATTGCGGATGAAGCTGATGAGGTCGCCCGCAGGGCCGACGATGATAATGACGATGCCATCCGACCAATGTTTTCCATGAGGAGGTTGAGCACGTGCGTGGCGCACGGCACGACCTCAATGTGGGGCCACTCCAGGACGAGCGTATTGCATGCCGTCGCGTAGTTCGACCCGCCATCCATGCACAACGCCACCAAATTATCCGGTCCCACTTTCTCGATGATGGGGTGGAGCATGTCGGCAATGTAGCACCCCATCTTGGATTCCATCTTGCAGTCGACACACTCAGTGAAGACTGCCGCCGGTTCGTTGATGAGCAGGATTCTCGCCTGCGGCATGCCACACTTGTGGGTCATCATATCCGACGCAATCGTCACTCCGTCCTGCTTCCAGCTCGCCGCGAAAGGCCCCAATCCCTGCTCGATCCGACTTTGACACACCTGCAGTCCCGCCCCTCCCATGTAGCGGCGACTAGGCGGGAAGTAACCGATTCCGCCTCGGCGATAGACAGCACATCATTTCGCCATAGCGGATGGTCCGTGTGGTGCTCGGGAAGGCGGAGGCCAGCGGACAGTAGGCAGATCGACTCATGCGCCGCCTGAGTCTTGCACGTCTTCTCGTCACCGAGGAAATCAGTGGTCCTCCCCTTCTTTGATCCTCCAGAGACAGCAGCAAGCGCGGCGTCTTCCGCACGCCTCTTATCCTCCCGCCCATTCTGCTTACGCTCGTAATGCGTGCGCACAGCTGCACGGACGTCGAACGGCACCTTTGAACAGAGTCGCTCGTCGCGCGACTTCAAGCCCTTCCACTTGACAAGATGCTGGGCGCATCGAAATGCGCCACCCTTGAACTCGAGATTGCAGTACTTGCAAATGCGGACTACGCCCACGCAGTCTGGGCGGATAGGCACCTTGAAGTAATTGAAGACGATATGTGTGCTGTCCTCTTGAAGACACTCGGTGGAACCCGAAGCTGACGCGACATTAGGGTCGCGGCTCCCACTAATCGGAGTTGCACCGGCGGTCGACATTGGAGAGTTGACGATAACAAAGGTGGGAATTTAAGGAAGGAGTAGTGTGAGAGTAGTAGTGAATGAGTAATGTCCAGAAATTGATGCAACTTATAAATGTGGTTGAGCAAAGGGAATGGTGGTTTGGTTGGTTGGATGAGTTGGGAGTGGGATGAGTTACGTGCAATGAGTTGGTTCATGGTGACTCGGTGTGGCTTCCCAAAATGTGGAGCTCGTAATGTTGAGTTACAAGTGGGGTTGGATGCGCGAAAATTATTTTAAAAAAAAAAAAAATATATATGGTGGGCAGCCCGACGCGACGTATCGTGTAGTTGTACCCGTATCACATTTTTTCCGTTTATACGTAAACGAATAAACGTGATACGCTACACCAACTGAACGTTTTTTCTAACATAGTTGCACAGCACAAGGCATATTCTGAAAAAAGAACCCCTCACGTGCTAGCCCTGTTAGTGATCGTTTTGCAGAAATCCCCGCAGCATGTGTGGATTTATGCTCATGTCATGTGCAGGAATCAGCAACGGTAGCAGCGTCAGCAATAGTGGCGGTGGCGACAGCAGCAGCAGCGAATCTTCTTCAGCAGGAGGTGGAGGTGGAGTGTCAGTGGGAGTCATCATTGGCATCGTTGTTGCTGCTGTGGTGATTCTCCTACTTCTTGTCGCCACTCTGGTTTACTTCAGACGCAAGTTACAGCCACAAGGTACGGAAACGAAGCAATCATAACGATACGTGAAAAGTAAGGTTTTCATTGCATGAACCTAGACATGAGCATGCTAGTGTGCAAGCCTAGTCATGCTCTACTCAACTGAAGTCGAGCCAAGATCAGCTGCAAAAAAATGCTTGGCTTGAAATGAGTGAGATTGACTCGCCACAAGCAGTTTGACTTTTGAACTTGGCCCACGAATTTGCTTTTTTCACAAGCTTACGTGCTGCTGTATGCCTTTTTCAACAGTGGATGTACCCTAAGGGACGTATAGCTGGACTACACAATTCAGGGGGCAACAGATGGTTTTAAGAAGTCAATGGTTTTAAGAAGTCAAGTATTAGGACTGCGAGTTCTTAGGGTCTCTCAGGGCTCTATATAAACCGAGCATACATATGGAGTCGTCAATTTTATGACCCGTGAAATTACATGCACGCTGGGTCTCAACGGCAATTCACGAAGCAAGTTGGGGCAAAGTTACGGGTGTGACCCGACTCTACGCAGCACGCATTGATTTGACAGAAGCCGGCCCGACTCGACCGGACTCGACTCGACCTGGCGACTTGATAATCCAGCTCAAGCATGTTTCCTTGCACCCATGCTCCTCCTTTCACCTTTGACATTACTAGCAGGCTGGGGGAGCAGCCTGGCAGCCTCGCACTGCACGGAGTTCTCACTGGCGGAGGTCCTCAAGGCCACCAATGACTGGTCCCCCGACAACCAGCTGGGCTCGGGTGCCTTTGGCGATGTGTACAAGGGCGTGTCTCCCCGCGATGGCACCACCTTGTGGGCTGTCAAGCGCTCCAAGCTGATCGATGTGGGCTTTCAGAAGGAGGTCAGTGAGCCATGGTGGTGCATAGAAAGCCTTTTCTCACAAGCCTTTGCAGGCATGATATTGCAAGTCAGTTCCTCAATTCGTCAAGCTTGTTCTGCTATTTGTTCGAAGCTCTCCTTTGCAATCTGTTTTTCTTTGCTACTTGCTCTTTCTCTCTTGGCTACTCTCAGATCCAGCAGATGGCCGACAAGAACCATCCCAACATTGTGAAGCTCCTTGGTTTTGCGATCGGAGGAGACTTGAGGACACAGCCAGAGCAAGTTCTCATCTATGATTACGTGCCCAACGGCGATCTTAACAAATGGATCGGTCCAAGTACGTGTGCCTCTCCAATGTTATCTTTGATATTCCACTCATGCTCTGCCACTCATGCTGCGCCATTATATGCTCTGCCACTCATTTGGTGTGTCAATCGTATTGCGTAGCGTGACCTTGACTCTAAAGCAGCTTGCTCATCATGCGCTGTGCCACGCATATGCTGTGCCACGCATATGCTGTGCCACGCATCCTTGAGATGTAGTTTGCCTTTGGCCATTCTTGATCTGCCACTCATCCGATGCCACTCAACTCTGCCGCTCATCTGCTGTGCCAATCATCCTCTGGCACTTATTCCTTGCAGAGGCAGAGCGCCCTCTGACTCTGAAGCAGCGGCTGGACATTCTCAGCGGCATGGCACGGGGCTTCGAGTATCTCCATGGCTTTGGCATCGTGCATCGCGACATCAAGCCTGCCAACATCCTCATCACCGACAGCATGCAGGCAAGCTTTTGCTGCAGTGGATCTTTTTTGTGACAGAATAATATTTGTCTAATCGAGGCATGTTTGTGTTTTATATGTAGTATATTTTGGTCAAGCTACACATTCAAGTCTGAACAAGGTGTTGGTATACGACATTACACCTACTGTGGTTGAAAGTTTTGAACTTCATATCTCGTTTCATACAGCTACTAGATGTTCTATTCAACCTCACTCACGAACCCTTTTTCTTTCACTCCTTGCTCTGTTATAGATAGTGCCACAAGTGTCCAATTTTATGCACCATTCCCTATCCCTCATGCTACAATGCCACTCATCTGCGTCACCAGGCGAAAATTGCAGACTTTGGGCTGCTGAGGATGGGGGAGGGCACGACTGTGGGCACGACTCGCATCATGGGCACACCTGGCTATGTGGATCCGGTCTACTCCATCACATCCAAGGCCACTGCAGCCGGCGATGTGTACAGGTGATCATTGCGAAGGCCTTATGTGAGGCAGTGGTGTGTATAGGTGAGGCAGTGGTGTATATAGGTGAGCATGTTTTAGACATCTTGAAGAGCGTCGGCACGACGCATGTCATGGGCACACCGGGCTATGGGATCCTGTTTATTCCATCACATCAGCCACACTGCAGCCACTGATGTCTACAGGTGTTACTTTTTTAGACGTTTTGAAGTGTTTGGGCACGACGCGCATCATCATGTTTACTTATTCACGTCCAAGGCCACCACTGCCAGTGATGTCTATAGTGAAGCAGGATTTCTTTAGAAGGCCTCTCTGTGTGTGTAGTACATGAATCTGGGTATGCTGCGGTCGGGTGGCAAGACTCATCTAAAGTGCCTCTGCCTCTTCTGCCTCTGACTCATCTAAAGTGCCACTGGGTCTACATCCTATTCCAATCTTCTCGTGCCTCTGATCATACTCTGCCTCTGATCATACTCTGCCTCTGATCATACTCTGCCTCTGATCATCCTGTGCCTCTGCCTTTCAACCATTTTCTCAGCTTTTGAGTGCTCATGCTGGTGGTACTCACGGGACAGGCGCCACTCTTGGAGACTCATGGAAAGAGTCAGCAGATCACTCCTTGGGTGAACACCTTATCCCATGAGCTCAGCGTCTAGCACTTTGTTGTGATGGCATTGTCAGTGCCAGTACATGAACACCAATGCTGGTTCTTGCTAGTGGTCCTCACAGGGACGGCATACCATTTCATGGGTACGCACCACCTACCGTCTTTGTCGCAAAGGCTTTGAAATATTTTCCACACCTTCTTGATAACCTGTCTCATCTCACCTTCTTGATGACCTATCTCATCTCACCTTCTTGATGACCTGTCTCATCTCACCTTCTTGATGACCTGTCTCATCTCACCTTCTTGATGACCTGTCTCATCTCACCTTCTTGATGACCTGTCTTATCTCACCTTCTTGATGACCTGTCTCATCTCACCTTCTTGATGACCTGTCTCATCTCACCTTCTTGATGACCTGTCTCATCTCACCTTCTTGATGACCTATCTCATCTCACCTTCTTGATGACCTGTCTCATCTCACCTTCTTGATGATCTGTCTCATCTCACCTTCTCCAACACCCTCTACCCAATTCACTCCCTCAGGCATCTGAGTGCCTGTCCTCGGGAAACCTGGGAAGCCTCAAGGACCCCACCATGGACGCCCCTGCAGATGCTGTGCTGCGTGTGGCTCAGCTCGCCCTCTCCTGCACCGGAGAGCGCACTGCAGCCCGCCCAAGCATGGCACACATCGCCAACGAGCTGCAGGCCATCCGGGAGGAGTGGGTGGGGAAAGAGGAGCTGAGCGCGGCTGTGAAGGTGGATGCGGAGGTTCAGGAGATGAGGGATGTTGTCGGTGTGAGCAACCTCAACACCGAACTTCAGATGATTGAAGACAATTTGGGCGGTTACGATAATTTAAAGTTCTGACAAGTGGAACTTTTACTCGTAGTGCTCGAGAATGTTTACGTTCTGCTGATATTGCTTTCCGTATAAGTATATTGTACATGCCTAGTGGGTTACCCTACAAAGAAGACACCAGGGTGCACTAGAGGGGCCGTTCTCTTCTGATTTGATATCGTTTAGCTCAGTATAAGCTGAGAGACCCCTCCGCCACCCCTTGTTTAACCGCATCCCTAGGAAAATGTGTTGGAAACAAATAGCTTTAGCGCCTCTGTCGTGTCGAAGCACTAAGTTACAAGCGAAGCAAAACACACCGAATCATTGGCGAGTCAACCCTCGAAAGTTGAACAACCGCTAGAGGTTACGCGAAAGTCAAAGGTCCGCGACCTTTGACCTGACAAGTATAGCGCGACAGCAAGGACAAACAACAGACTCGTTATTGAGCAGTTGCCCGAGTCGTCACTGTATCGAACCGCAACAGCAACAGCAAAAACAGTTATTAGTTGTAACCCTTCATATTCCCTTGTACTCTTATTAAAGCTTGTATCTCTCTGTTTTAATCAATCTACTTTGCCCTCACATACCAGCGCAAGGTGGTTCACAGAATTCTCAATAAACGCTTCCGCTATTACATTGTCCTACTCAGAATTTAGTCCTGCAAAGATCCTATGGGCTTTTATCAGCCCAACATGGTATGAGAGCTATCAGGACAAATTTAACTACAATCAAGACCTCCACAACATCACAAGGCATGGCAACGCAAAAGGAGAGAAGCTCCTCTAACGACTCTCCCGGTACTACTCCTACTCCACCTCCTGCCTCTGGCCTACAGACAGAGCAAGGCACAGCAACAAGACCGTCAGCTGGGTCTACCAAAACTCCCGCAAATCAAGCTACGGGCTTCGACCCACATATGATGGAGAAATTCTTCTCCTTCATGTCCTTCTACGAACAACACCAGCAAGGGGCACCTGCGTAGTCAAACAACAGCAACAACAACAACGCAACACCGATGAGCCTCGACGGTTCATCCTACGCACGAGGAAATCAGCAACAACAACCTACCTTCGCCCTGTACGAACCTCAGCGCTGTTCCGTCAGCTTCATGCCGCGCCAGCAACCTTCATCTGAGCAAGAGAAGACATTGGATGCACTTCAAGTTCAGTCGCAGTTTGCACACGTCTTAAAACTGCAGACGTCAAGACCGTTCGATGGAAAGGACTTCTTTACCAGGTCATTCAAATTCGAGCTGATGATGGAAGGCGCGCAGATTCTTGGCTTTTTCGACGGGTCCCTTCCATACCCAACACACGGGACGCAATACGACAAGCAGCACTATACATATCAGTCCATGATGGCGTATACAATCCTACTGCGCAACGTCACACCGAACCAGCAGCAGAAGATTCGGTCTTACCGAGGATACAGGAACTCCGTTAAGCTCGCGTACAACCACATGAAGAACCTGTATTAGGCAACAAACAGCGTCAATCAGAGTCGGTTAATGGCACAACTAACAACATTGGAAATGAAACCGGGCGAAAAAGGGATGGCGTATATCAGCCGCTGTCACGAATTGCACGACAAACTCCTTCGATGCGGAGGGTCAATATCAGAAGACGCCTTCGTCACAGTCGTCATTGGCGGTCTTGGTCCTCATTGGCGCTCCACTCGCACCATACTCCGAGCTCACGGGAAGATCTCCAAAGACATGGACCTGCAAGAGGAGCGACACAAGAAGAAAACGTCGGTACCTGAATTTGCGTTTCACACTCAACGGCGCTACAACAACAACAACCGGCATCAACCAAAACCCGTACCTCCGTTCTGTCACCTCTGCAAGATTTCAGGGCACCCTCGCACACACTTCCCAAATCTACAGCAGTCAACACCGCCGCAACGCCAACTTCGTCCTTCAAGTAGTCAAGTGACGTCCACACAAGCGCTCCCCACGGGTCAACTGCAGTCCTCAACAACATCGTCAACGCAATCTGCACAAGGAACAAGAAACATCGTAAACTACATGGCAAGACTGACTAACTCCTGCATAACCGAGTCACCACCACACTGAGAAAGTTAGAACGAGAAAGAAATGACTATGAATGAAGTGAGTACAAATAGGAAACTCTAGTTGGGTTGTACCCCCAATGGGATACCCCACTATAGCCTACACAAATAAGTAAGCTATAATATTCTGACACACCCCCATAGGCAAAGTGGGGGAGAACAAGGGGTCACAAGACCAGTCAAGCAAAACAAAGCAAAGCTCAGGGTGGATCACAAAGTCACCACACATTCCGAGCACAAGTTCAAGGGCCACAAGGCCAGTTCACATGCAAGACCATATATAGAGATATACAAGAGTCAAGCAAGCAAGAGCAAGAGTATATATAGGTCGAGGTACAAGCAAGGTCAAGAAGTGAGCAAGTGAGGCAAGACAGGCACAAGATCCAACTGCGTGCAGCAACGCTGATGATCACAAGGCGCAAGTGCCTTGGTGAAGACATCAGCAGTGTTGGCCTCAGAGGCCACGTACGCAAGTCGCAACTGTCCACGCTGCTGTAGCTCACGAGCAAGAAAGTAGCGGAGAGCAATGTGCTTTGTCCTGTGCTCCAGTCGCTGCTCTCGACACAAGGCCAGCATGGCCTTGTTGTCTACGTACAGGACTGGAGGAGAACGAGGCGGCTCTCCAAGGTCGGTCAACAGGTAGGTGAGCCAGCGTAACTCCTGTGCAGCCATAGCCCCGGCGTAGATCTCAGCCTCACAACTGGAGCCGAGAACAGAAGACGAGCGGGTAGCCCGCCACGAAACAGAGCCGGAACCAAGGCTGAAGGTGTAACCCTGTGACGACCGCTGCGTAGCCTGGTCGTCAGCCCAAGAAGCGTCCGCGTGCCCAGTGAGGACCACTGGACTGCGCCCTCCAAGCACTAGCCCCATGCCCGACGTACTGCACAAGTAGCGCAACACCCTCTTCGCTGCAGCCATGTGCTCTGGTCGGTGTCTCCCAGGAGCAACATAGCGCGTAAGAATGCTAAGAGGGTATGCAAGGTCAGGTCGTGTGCAGGTCATCAGGTACATGAGGCAGCCAACAAGCTCTGCATACGGGCCACTCGACTCTACGGACTCATCCGAAGGCAGAGCTGAGAGCGAGTGGCGAGTAGGCAGAGGAGTGGCCTGAGGCGAGGAGTACGTGAAGCCAAAGCGCTGAAGGACCTGCTGCACCATGTGTGACTGAGTCAGGGTAATGGTGCGGCGTGCTCTGTCTCGAGTGATCTGTAAGCCAAGGTAGCTGCGCAGTTCACCCAGGTCAGTGCATGTGTGTCTCTTATGCAGCTCGGACTTCACGTAGGCGAGTCCAGCAGTGTCAGCTCTGGCAAAGACCAAGTCGTCGACGTACACGAGGATGTAGAATGGCGGCAGAGAGGTGTCGGTGCGCAGAAACAGCGACGGGTCGGCAGTAGAAGGAGCAAACCCAAGTGCCGCCAGCGTAGTCTTCAGTGTGTCGTGCCACTCACGTGGCGCCTGGCGGAGACCGTAGACTAGACGCCGGAGACTCCACTGGGTACCAGGAGGGAAAGACCCAGTGAAGCCAGGTGGGCGACGCAGCCAGATCTCCTCGTGCAGGCTGCCGTGCAAGAAAGCTGTGCTGAAGTCGAGAGGGTGCAGCTCGTAGTCACGGTGAGCAGCTGCGGAGATAACTGTAGCAACGGGAGCTAGGCTACGGGCTAGACACGTGTGCTCGTGTGATCTCTGCGTTCTCTGTTCCTTAGTCGTTTTTCCTTGTACGCACACTACTTGCTAGTTCACGGGGAAAATTGGCAAGAGTTTTACTAGGAAAAGTTCGGAACAATGGGTACAATGAAGTTGGCAATGCAAGACTACATCAGAGCAAGCATTCAGGTCGGCCAACTGCCAGCGCAGCTTGGTCGACCGCGTTCCTGCACGACTTCGTCGACCGCGCTCCAGCAAGGCAAGGTCGACGGCGTGCCAACGTCGCAGGTTGACGGCGTGACAGCGTTGCTCATGCAGGACAGCAGTGCACCCTGCTTCGCAGTTGTGCGCAGATGATTGGCGCGCAGAGTCTTGTCACCTGCACAGCGCACACACCACGTCAACCTCGAGCTGACGACTGCCTCTGATCCGCCACGACGACCTCGGGATACCACCACCGAGGTCGGGCTCGCCAACTTCGCCTGGGCGACCGTCGCACTCCTCCGCAGCACTTCGTCACTCAGGTAACCTGGTCGACCAGGCAACCACGTCGACCAGCAGCTCCCGTACGTGCCCGTCGACCTCCCGAGTCGACGACCACCTCCACGTCGACCTCACCAGGTCGACGACACCATCGGTCGACCTCCTCCAGGTCGACATCCCCTCTGGTCGACCAGCTCCACATCGACCAGCACTCCTGGTCGACCTGCTCCTCGTCGACCAGCACAGTCGTCGGCCGACCACCCACGTCGGCCACCCGAAGCTGGCGTCACGAAGTTGACGCCCCGCTACTCGACGCCCAACTGTTCGGCGTCCTGAGTCGAGGTCGACGTCGGCCCCTCCTTTGTCGACCACCAGGTCCAGTCGACCACTAGCAGGTCGACCAGCAGTCCGTTAGCCGACTGCCGAAGTCGGCTTCCCCAAGTTGACGTCACCAAGTTGACGTCCTCCGCAGGTCGACACCCAAGTCGACCTCCCTGAAGTCGGCGCCCGTGCAGTGGTCCCCCGTGCAGGTCGACCTCCTTGTCGACCAGCTCACCCACTGCTAGAGGTCAGCTGCTCCCCTCACACCCGACCACGAGGTCGGCTTCGCCCAAGCGAGGACGGGGCCAATACACAACTCCCGTTGACAGCAGCAACGTGCAGCAGTACCCGAAGGGTGGTCATCTTCGAGGTGGGGGAGAAGGTCTGAAAGTAGTCAACCCCCTTCCGCTGACTGAAGCCACGAGCCACGTAACGCGCCTTGAAGACAGGCGGAGAACCCGGCGGCCGCTTCACCCTGAAAATCCACATGCCACTGACGATGTTCGCCCCAG